ACAATAAGTCTATAAGTTGTAATCTAACATACAATAAGTCTATAAGTTGTAATCTAACAGTTTGCAGTATTTTAATGATCATCGGTAATAATTGTTAATTTATTTGTTTGATTTTTTTATTAAATATATTATCGACTAACTATTATGTTATATTTTAGGTATCTCATCAAGGGAGTGGGCCAAACAATGAATGTAATGAAGAAGAAAATTAGATATTGTTATTGAATATCTTTGAGTCATACTTTTAGTATTGAATATTTGTATTGAACATCTATATTGAACATATGTAATGAACATCTTCCTTTTTAATTTTTATGTATGAACAATTAGTTGTATGAATGATATTAGGTTGAACAATGTAATTTATTTTATACAATATTATTCAATTTTAGTTCATATTAATTTATTGTTTGTTTTGTTAATAAAACCATTTTTATCATAATCTAATTTTATTACAATAAAAAAAATAACTATATAAATTCCCGGTGGTTTTAACCCCGGTAAGCTAAACCATGCAAAATAGGGGCGGTTTTGAGATAACCCCAGTTAGTTCTGACGGCTTTTGAGTAACCCAGTTATTCCCAGCGGTTTTCACAAAACCCCTGCTAATTCCGGCGGTTTTTACAAAACTCTTGAAAATTTCGGCGGTTCCTGGAAACCCTGCTAATACCGACAGTTTTTTCTTGAACTGCCGGTACTTGCTTGGCGACGGGAGTTTTCCCAACGGTTTTTCCAACCACGGGAAATATGATTTGCGGGAGTTAAAACCGCCAGTAATATTTAAAAAAATCCCTTATAAAATTACAATTTTTTGTAGTGAAAGCAATCATAAGAGACTAATTTTTTTAATCACAAACTCTAAATCAAATATCCTAATGGTCAAAATAAAAATTTATGTAACTAAGACCAATTGTGAAAATTTTAATTTTATGCAATGAATAATAAATATGAGAATCTTAATTTTCTCGAGATGATTGGTAACAGAAAAACTCACCTAATAGAAAATCAAATTCTATAATTTGCAAGTTCCCAAAATACCAAAAAAACTAATACCAAAATTTTACTAAATCAAAAACATCTCCAACTTCATACTAGGGATTCAACCAAACTTATCTCATTTTCCCCCAATTTTTATATTCGCATACGAACATGCAAATTAGAGATTCTTCTTCTCCCACAAGTTAGGGATTCACTATCATTATTTTCTTTATATGGATTTATGCGTTCATCTTAATAATTTATTTTTATCATTAGTACCAATTTTCTTACATTTTTTTATTCTTGCATTTTGTTTTTCTAGTTTTTCTCTAAGACTTTTGGATGTTTATACTTCAAAATATTTCTTATTCAATTTCCTTCCCTCAAAGAAACTTGAAAGAACTTTCAAAATCTTTTCCGGATTAACATAAAAAAAAGGGTGTTTTATTAAATGGCACCATTATTTTTATTTTAATGTAAATGAAGTTTATTTAATGTAATATATATATATATATATATATATATATATATATATATATTTAAATTATTTTAAAAATTTGTGTTTTATTTTCAAATTAAATTATATATTAATTTTGTATAAAATTATCTTAAACATTATTAGGGGTATAAATGTTATATTATAGTGAATTATGAAATTCCGTCCGTTATGTAGAAATACTCTATGTTCTTTTTATTGAGAAGAATATTTTACACTATTTTCATAGTAAGAAAAAAAAAGAGATATATAATTTAATTTGTCATTTAAAAGACTAAATGCTATGTTATATTTAAAAATAATTGTAAAAATATTATAATAAATTAAAAATTTAAAAACTTGTGATATTTAATTAATACCGTGTCTAATATATTTAAATTGAAAATCTTTTGGATTAAAAAATATTAATTTTCCTTGTTGAATGATCTATTTTAATCATTAAGTTTTCATCGAAAACAGTAGATTTTATATATAATTGTATAATTCAATTTATATGATTATATAAATTGATCAGCACAGCTTTACAAAAAAGAAGTATTAATAAGGATGCTTCCCAGAAATAAGGTGCAGATATGTTTTGTTTTGATTAGATAAACTGACAATCACACTTACTTTCTTTTCTGTTCTCACTGAGATGAGAGGAAAGAAAAAAAATAAAATAAACGGTTACTTAAATTGACCAGAAAAAATATGTCTTTTATAAGTTAATTAATTTAAATTTTTGGTATACATATTTAAAAAATATAATCATTGTAATTTTAGTTCCTCAATTAATTTAGTCCATATTTTTTTAAACGGACAATAGTTTGTTACTTCATAATTCAAGTTTTAGCTATTTCAATTATGCAATAAACCAATCAGTTAATTTGTTTCGAGTAATGTCTTTTCATAATTTTATTTACTATTTCATAATTTATTTAATATAAAATAAAATTATTTCATATTAAATAATTTGAGTCCTAAAATTAAATATTTAATGTCACATCCTCCCTTACACAAATCCTTGCATTACCAAACCTGTTAAAAATTGAACTACAAATTCACGATAAAATTTAAAATAATTTTTTAAACGTAGAATAAAATCACATATTAAAAACGACCAAAACTAAATTTACGATGAATAAAAACTGAACCATTTAAATTGTGAAACCAAAATTACCCAAAGGATTAAAAGTATATATAATGAATTGTTTTATATTAATTTTTTCTTTAATTGAGTAATACGTTTCCCTCATCTAAATAAACACTTTTAAGTTTTATTGTCATGTGGTCTCATGAATTAACATGTTGAATGTTGACGTAATGGGTGACGAATCACATGATATCAAACACTTATAATATTAATTATTTTGAACAAAAGAAGATGAAGATCACCACTTGTTCTTTCAAACATGAAAGGTCGTGGAAGATACCTAGGAACTTCCTAGAACTGTGTTTTTAAGATTTCTATTACCTGAATTTGGTATAAATTCATCTTCATTGTCATAACTTAATGTGCATCTCTGTGAAGCAAACTAAAGTCAACGCATACAGATTCTTGATACTAACTTGGGACACATGAATGTGAAAGAACTTGCTAAAACACAAGCTTTTTGGAAATATATATATATCTCATATGAATGTAATAATGATAAAAGAAAACACTTGCAAGTAGTTGATCCAAATAATATTGAATTTTGTTACTTGAAATAAGATGTTGGATTAAAGTTTTGTGGTGAAAAAATTGTTAGGGCAACAAAACAAAGTATTGTTTCCTCAGATATGGAAGAATACTTTACACTCTTTTCAAAGATTTTTCTATGGTATATCCATAGCAAGTATTGGAAACAAACATGATCGTATTACAAACTAATAATATATACAAGAGTGAAAGAAGGCAAGAAAAATGTCTCAGTGTAACAAAAAAATAATAGAAAACAACAAAGGTAATGAAAGATAACTTTATGAGAAAAATCTGTCGATTTCGTGAGAAATGTTTGACAAAAATATTAGATAACTTTATGTTTCTATTTATTTATTTTTAATTCATTTTTCTGTTCTCAATATCTACACTTTCTTTAAGCGTTTACTTTAATTTATCAATTTTTTTTTTCTTTCTCAAAACTTCGATTTAATATTTCTATGAATGTTAAGTTTTAGAAATATTTATAATTGAAAATCTATATGAAAGTGATAATTTTTTATTGTTAAGAAAATGTGCTAATAGTCATGAAAGTGAAGTTTAATTCTTTTAATAATGAATTAAAAAATAAAGTTAATTACTTTATGTAAATGATCGTCATCATCCAAATTTGAAAATTCTTATTTTAAATAAAAAATATAAGTTATATATATTTTGTATCGAAGGGAAGACTTATAAACCCAGACAATATTATTAATCTCAGGTAAAAAGTTGAAACAGCTAAGAATGAAAACCAAAAATTTCTTGAAGTTAATTTGATACGTCTCATCCAAATCAATTGAAACCATTTTATAGCAGCTTGCTGTAAAGGAATATCATGATATATTAAAAACACTATAAACATACATACTATATATATATATATATATATATATATATAATTGAAAATAATGCATGCACTGGCAGCAACATATAAACAGTGCAAAGAGTTTTCATATAAACAGTGCAAAGAGTTTTCTTTCTAGTGACTAATTAAAATTTGTCTGATAATTTGAAACTTTTAAGAAAAGAAATTTTAACAGTGATTTCCTAACCTAATTTCTGTGTAAGAAAAACACTTTACAAGGTACATTGAAATTAATCTCTTGTTTAATAATTTTGCTACCAGGAAAGAGAGAAAAAGGAGTCAGACTTTCACTTTCACTCTCTATTTTCTTTGATTTTCACTTTTTTGGAGTAACCACTTAGCCCATTAATTAATGTTTGAATGGCACACTAAAGATAATCTAGAAGGAAGAGTTTGATTCCTCCACTTGCACAACGTAAAATAGTAACTTTTCGAAAACCCTATTTTGTGTAAACAACTTAACAATTTTATTATAATATATACACATAAATGAAAGTGAGCTTGACACTTATGATTCTAAATATAATTTCAATTTCACTTAAAACAAGATTTATATTCATTTTATATTCTGGAAATTCGTCGTTATATATATATATATATATAGATATATATATATATATATAAAGAAAAGAAAGGTCAAAAACATGAAGAACATACGTAACAGTGATGAAGTCAGTTTTGTAGTGGCTGTGATGAAAGTAGCGTCTTGTGGTTCGAAGAAACTTGCACAAGACCATACGAAAACACAATCACTTTTGACTTGGACTTGTACTGTTAAGCGTTAATTGGTCTAACAATCAATCAACATTAGCATCTCTTGAAAGTCTTCCCCAAGTCATCCCAAGGTGTACCCCACTAATGCTTTGTCTTCTATTGATCTCTATTCTTAGATATTCTTTTTCATCCACATCAATTGGTTTGTGCCATTGTTTTTTCTACTGCTTCTCATTACCCTTGAAACTTCCTAGATTTCTTGCTCCTAGGAAGCTACCATGAAGCAGCCTTTCAAATAAAACCATCACTGTGGCGTGTCTTTATATATTGTCTCCGCCGTGATCCTTTCTTTTCATATCATTCAGTGTTGTGCCAAAATGACAGACAACAATCCAAAACCACCACCTGATACACCTGACAGTGATGATTTCTGCAACCAGTGGCCTTTTGAGCTCTCTGAGTACATGCAATTCGATGATAACCAATGGATGCATGACGATATTCCGTCTTTTTCTTCTGAGAATGTCTCCAACCAGGTTCATCAACCCAGTAATGTACGTGAGTTTGAAGGAGACGAAAGCTACTTTGAAGGGTCTTCTAGCAGTAAGCATATATAAACATATGTAGTAGTTCCTCATGAGACGAAAGTGTGCTTTGTTTTGTATACCTTGAGTATGTTTATTTAGCCATTTTTAAATATTAGTCTCCCTTTTGCTTATAGTTATTGACTGATGTGAACATGTGTGCAATTTTAGGAGAAACTGGTGGACGTGAGAATCGGCAAGTTGTTAGAGAGAGATTTGCATTCAAAACAATTTCAGAGATTGAAGTGCTAGACGATGGATACAGATGGAGGAAGTACGGAAAGAAAATGGTGAAGAACAATCCCAATCCAAGGTATGTATATATATGCTTATGATAGAATATGTTAACCTTAAACATTTTTCTACTAGTGTTCATAATATATATAAATAGTTAATTATCATGCTGCTAAATAAACGTAAACAACTGATGAAATAGATTAACGAAACCGATGAGGGAAAAGATAAGCACATAAAATCACATACGTACTTGCATATAAGAGCTATAATTAGCATGTTTGGTTATGCTTCTATACCAAGTTTTATCATCTTGAAGCTACAGCTTCTGCATCATTCTAAGATTTTGACGTGAAAATTGAAGGGTAGGTGCATTCAGAAAGGTTTCTCACACGCACTCTAATGAACAAATATAGGTTGCAATACTACATAAAACATCAATAAGGAAGATGAAGATACAAATTTCTCAGGAAATATTTTGTTTTCATTTTTTATGTTTTTACTTTATAGCATACTTATCATTAAAAGTGTTTGATCACAGGAATTACTATAGATGTTCAGTGGATGGATGCTCTGTGAAGAAGAGAGTGGAGAGAGATAAGGATGACCCTAGGTGTGTAATAACAACCTACGAAGGAAACCACACTCATCCAAGTTCTTCCTAGGTTGAATATGAATAAGTTTTGGCACTGTATAGAAGTTTTGTTGGCCACAGCTACTACTACTTTCTTATTAATGCTTGCTTGCCAAGTTTTGTCATGTGCATACATGTTTAATTTCACCTTATATATCGTTTACATGTTTGATTTCATGTTCTATAATATAATTAACTATGAATTTTAAATTGATTTTGAATTTAAGCCAGTTTTAAGTAGCTTTCTGTGCTGAATAACAATCTGCACTTTTAGAATGAAAACATCAAACACAAAGCTCGTCACTTCCATGAGTTCATTTAAAATCTATTTTTTTCAAATGATCGTTCAAACACACAACACTGTTGGTAATAGCTCAACCTGGCAGATTAATCGACCTTCTGAGGATCTTATAATATACGTTTCTGTTGTTATCTATACAGAAATTTCTGACAGGTGCTATGTTGTCTCATCAAGATTAATTCAGGTAAGATTAATGAAAATGAAAAAAAAGAGAGTAAGATGGATCAGTGTCTTTCAATTAAACGATAACAATGAACGTGAGAGGATTAACAATAAGAGTGTGTAAAGAGCTTGTAGCGGTAGGAAGACTCATCTGACTTGTCGTTTATTAAGAAGTCTATCGAACTTTGGTTTCATTCTATCAACGGTTCAGCAGCAGAAATTCACGGTACACTGCGGACAAATCCAATTGCGAGTGGAAAACATAGAATTTCTTATCGTAACTAAACACAAGTCGATAAATACAATAAATAAAACGTGTGATTCATCTGAAAATGACATTTTCCCTTATGTAGTAAGTTTAAGTTTAACTCAAATGATTAAATAAAGTGTGGTTTGTCTCATCTTTAAGTTTGAACATGGAAATTTAGGAGCTCTCGATATCAAATCTCAACTAAAATAAACTTTTATGGTTTTGACACCATTTTAAGACACTGAGTTCAAGTTTAACTCAAAAAATTTATATTATAATTTGATTTTATCTTTTATATGATATATGATCATCAACCCATCTTTCATATTAAAATAATTTAGAATGCTCGATAAAGAGTAATACAATAAACTCATTTAAATTACTATATAATATTAAGGTATGCCTAACTCAAAGTAACAGAAATCTCATCTTACTAAGTGAATTTGGTCAGTTAGATTTAAAAACCTACTACCTTCCTATAAATTTATAGTTACAGTAAGAGTCTATTTTAGTAAGAGTCTATCTTAGTCAAGATTTGAACTTATTTTAATTTTCTTGTTTGAAGAAAGGAACATTTAATGTTATAATTGTGTACAAGAGATTTACGGCAATTAAAAATAATATCAATTTACAATAAATATATATAGGATATATATATATAATTAATAATATATATTATACTACTATTATATAATTAATGATAATATAATATGAGTTTGTTGAAGAGGAAAACAAATTTTATATTATTAAACTAATTTTATAAAATTGAATTAAGCTTAAACACACTTATCTAATACACTAAAAGATCTATCTACCAAGACTAATACATATAAAAATGTTCTCAAACAGTTTCTTTACTTGTGTTAAAGCGGTTTATGTATAATTCAATCGCTAGCATTGGGCCTGCAAAGCAAATGTTTGTATTTTAAAATTATATATCATCAATGTAATCTATAAATTGATAGGTAATTGCTATTACTAATGAACACATACATCTAAAACAATCTTTTACAAAAAGGTTATTGTAAAATAAAATGTTACAAGTATATATAGATAATTATATTATATATATATATATATATATATATATATATATATAATATTTCTCCATACAAACTCTTATTGTTAACAAGACATGAGACTGTAAAAAACATCATAAATGAAGAACTTATCAAGCATTTAAGGCTTATGCTTATCCTCCTACTTAATTAGTATAGCATCATATCAGTTTTTGCCCCCTTTAGTATCCTAATAAGGCCATTTTAAGAATTAGCACCCCTCCCCTACCTTACAGATTAGAAAAGAATGCTCAAAATCCTTAGTAGGCCCAAATTAAGAAGTTTCTTTGTTCGAGACAGGCCACTTAAACAACTGAAGTGGAAAAGGTTAATGCCCTCTTACCTTCTTGATCAGTCATGGAATAGGGAAAAATTATAATGGTATAACTTTATAACAAAGGAAAAACGTGAGTAAAATGAATAGCCTGATAGAGAGAAAGATTGAATTATGAAAAAGTTTGCAGAAAGTATATCCTCCAATCAGGTAAAGTCTATTGGGATAGGCCATCATATCAGGTCGGTGAGTCAAACTTGTTTCCACTCACGGAGGGTCATGTAAGTAGATTTTCCATTCAATTTTCAAAGAACAAAATTTGTGATAAATTAAGGTTGATTAAATTTCTTAGAGAATACTAATAGTAAAAGAAAATAAGATGAAATGAATTAAGTTTCTCGTACAAGATAAAAATAACATGCAATAGTTAAAATGAGTTGAGAAATTTTCTATAATTTGTGTATTACTTTTTTATCCAGTGTCTTTTCTAATAATAATTGTTCAGAAACTTATTCAAATAGTTACTACAACCTAATCAGCTTCTGGAATACCATGTTCCCGACATACCCACCCGAGTGATTTTGCAGTCACCTTAATACCTGCTCATATGTTTTTATGGTCATGACTTAACTGGCAATTGTGGTTAAGAATTTGTTTTAAGGAACAAGTTCACCATGACAATTGAAAAGTGAAGGCACAATAATTTATACGTAAACTCAGTTACGTTTTATTAATTGCAAATAGTTTTAGCAGTTGCGTGGTGCAAACAAAACAGCCAAACTGTGTACAGTGTTTAATTTTGTGTATACATCACCAAGGGTGATTGGAGGAAGAAAGAATTAAAAATTTGTGCATGCTGACTGGTATAACTTCCTTGACAGTGTACTATAATAACTATATAGATTGAGAAATTTAAAAAAAATTTAATAAAATTGCACGTAAAAAATGATCTGACAGTTCAACTTGGGAAGATGATATCAGGGTTCCGGATGTGTACATTTTCAGCAAGCAGCTCTTTACTATTATTAACACAAGAAATGCTCCAGAGCGTGTCCTCATCCAGCAACTTCTTGGTACACAGCGGAGATGACAAAACAATTGCTTTTGATGTTGAAGATGAATGTTTGACAGTACTAGCCATGCCACTGGCAAGCAACCACCGGATCCCAGACTGTTGCTGAGTTACAGTACCCCAATGTTGCTTGCTTCCGGATTTGGTAAGGACACCTGAAAGATGAATCTCTCTGATTTTGAATCCAAATCGAGGTGATTCATTTTCGGTATTTGAATCTTCAAAAAACTTGCCACTTATTTCATCTAGTAAGGTCTCATTCTCCATTCCCTTTTCTTTTCTTTCCAGAAAATTGCTGTCATCTTGCTGCATTACATGTATGTTAACCCTTTCCACCTGAGTCAAAACCAGCATTGGAGCACCAACTGGTTCATAATTTCGTAGAGGATTCCTAAGCTGGATCATATAAGCCACCGTTAGGTGGTTCCCCAAGAGTCCATGCTTTCTGCCAAATGTTTTTACCTGGTCCATGGCATTTTTCAACCCTCGATCATGCAGTAACTCTGTGATTTTAGAATGGTGTACTTGTAAGATCTTCAAAATTTGTTCTGAATTCTGATCTCCTTCAATAATGCCAGAATCCAATCTCAACCATTGATCTAATGTTACTGACAGACCCATCAATCCATGATCATCATGACCAATTTCTCCACCATCTTCTAGTTGCATTTTATCACCTCTTTCTGATGTGGGAAACCATTTCCAGTTGGCTCTTCTGCTACCGATGAAAGGCGTCTTTGCATGTTGGGGATGCATATAAGATGGTGCCTCCTCGTACAACATGCCAGACTGCACTCTCAACCCTTCTATCAAAAGGGATTCAATCTTATCAACAGTCATAGGAGCTATTGCTTCTAGAGATACAATGTCCAAGCTCATGCCTTCATCTGTCAAATAGTTACAATGAAATTCATCAAAGGAATCGTGCTGCCATGTCCTCTGCCTGAAACAGAATTAAGAAAGGAGATCTTTAGAAAAATTCAAATACTTCAAACTAAAGAGTTTTTCACTAGTAATGTGACAAACACAGTTGCTTACCTTCCAGGAGTCCCTTTGTTGGTTATGGCTTCCCACGAAATATGCTCAATGGATTTTCCAGTGATATCTTGCAAAGGCAACAATTTATAGATATGATGACACAGCTCTTCAACTCCATCAGATGCCACATGCTGCAGTATATCCAGTATATCATTACCCATTTCTGCAGGTAGAACAACAGGATTAGAAGCCTGAGTGATGAGGTTACCACAATTCTTAGCATTTTTGAAAAGGGAAGGACTCATGGACCTTAAGAAGCCTCCACCCATAATTTGAACAAATGAACCAAGTCCCTGTCCAATTGAAGGTAACGTGCATGATTCTTCATTGGGTAGTTCAATTGGACTTCCAAACCCACCAGAACAAGTTCCCGGAGAATTTTCAAAGTCCCTCTCATTTAAACCCCAGAGTTGCATCAATGAATCTGTCTCCAGGTCTTCCAAAATTTTGGCCTTTCTTCTCTGCATTAACAACTGATTCTCCCTGGCATGCTCCTCTTCAGCAGCTTGAATAAATAAAGACAAATCAGAATCCACAGTACAATCATCGTAGCTATGTCCAAGCGTCTCTGTCTTCAATTCCTCTTCGTCTGCATTGAAATCAAAAGTGAAGTTACCTGAAGCTAGAGCCTCCTTTTCAAACTGTATTAAAAGCTTCTCTCTGGGAGAATGTGGATCCCCGTCACGACTTGAGCCAAATGAACCACTCTCTATGGCCAGCATGTTCAAGAAATCATTTGCAATAGATTCGGTGATAGAATCCAAGCTACTTGATTTTTTTGCCATTCTATGTGATTTATAATTTGATTTAACATTAGGGTAGTGCTCTTGGACAAGAAACTCTGATGTCTCAGGAAGTATATCTACATCCTTGATGCAAGTTAAACTGAGACACGAACTACTGCATTTATGTTTGCTGTCACCTGCCACAGTTCCATTTACACAACTA